GGCTATACGTGCGTAGTCACAAAGTGCCGCTTTGTTTAAAATCACAAGTAATTTTTTTTTCAAAAAAGGTCACATTGCAGCGCGTTTTTTCCAAGCAACAGCAGTTAATCCGAATCGACTCACGTGACCTGAAGCACGCCGGTGGATTTCTCCGAGCAGTTGTAACAACTGCTCACAAAGCGGGAGGAGAAGACCTCACGTGGCGCAGCCTTGCCCATGAATTAGTAAAGAGAGCCAGGCGTCCGCGGCTCGCCTGATTGGAAGTCGAGGAGAGAACGCCCGCTGACGCCAGTGGAGATCGATGTGGCAGTCAGAGGGATGAAGCGAGATAATTAGCGTTCAGAGTGTATCTTGTTAATTAAGGGCTAATTAGAGGCAGAGGCGGAGGGAGAAGGCTTGTGTGTGTTTGTGTCTGTGTGCGGGGGTCGCTCGGCAGAGATATGTGCACGAATAAGGTGGCAGCACTACAACGCAGTACAGCACAAACTCCATAAAACTGTTAACGCTACTAAATAATTATCGCTTCATTACAGACTGTTTGGATTTTTTCAATTACTCTGCCTAGATTGTTTTGTTTTTTTTTGTTTTTTTTTTGTTGGTGTTAGTTTTTGTTTCCCGCCCTCAAATTGAAGACAAAAGCGTGTAATTTTCTTGTCCTTGTCACGTCTTCTCCAGGTGCGCCTCACTCCAACAGCAGCATCTCCCTGCAGACGGGCGGGCTGGCGTTTGGCGGCAGCAAAGACAGCATGCACCAGCGCTCCTTCTCCGTGTCCAGCGCCGACCAGTGGAATGAAGCCATCAACACCAGTACGAGCGGCGTTGCCCGTAAGGATCCCAAACTGTTGCCACAAATGCCAAAAAAAAAAAAAAAAACAGAAAGGATCTAGAGTGCATGTTTTTTTTTTTTTTATTAAACGAAATAAGCCTCTATTTTGTGATTAAGTGATCAGGATGGTGATCACTGTGACCTTTTATGTTGCTGCTCTTTGATAGAAGCGGCGTGTTCAGATGGGAGCGGGGCGGGGGTGGGGGGCAGTGAAGGTTAACTTTCTTCCATCGATGCGTCTCCACTTACTGTCTCCCTTGTCACTGTAGTTGTGTGAAGTAAGATAATATATTCACCATATCTGCCCCCCCCCCCATCTCTCCAACCCATCCTGTCTTTACCTTCCATCTTCCTTTCTGCCCCCCCCCCCCCTTCTGTTTTCGTCTCCCTTCTTCCGAAGAGGAAAATGAATGCTTTTCGGGAGTACCATTCATCACCAGTTATTTCCCTCTCTTTGTGGTTGGCAGTAAAAAAGCACTTAAATGCACATCAACAGAATAACAGTCATTTCCATGCATGTTTGCACTCTGGTAGTTCTCATTAGCGCGGCGGCGGCTTCCCCCCTCCCCATGGGCTCCCAGGGGCCCCGGCAGTTTAAAGAGCGCACTTTACGAGCGCTGCTGGAGTCCAACCGCGCGGCCCTCGTGSTTCCGCAGACAAGCCTGATTCTCATTTGGAGCTGCCGAACGATCAATTCTGCCTGGACGCGGGCACTTCCATCACCCCCCTCCGCCCCCCATCTCCCATCAGCAGCACGCCCAAAGCAGAATTACTTAGATTCGTGGGGTCCTCAAATAAATGAGCACGAGTGTGTGTTATGTGTGTGTGTGTGTGTGTGTGTGTTCTTGCAGAATGTTTCAGCGTGGCTGTTTGCATGTAGGCTTTTTTTTCCCTACAAACTGTAATATAATGTGTTTGTAACTCCTCCCGCACCCCACCTTAAAAAAAAAGGCCTCGTACTCGAGTGTTTGACGATACGATGGCTAAACTACGAAGGACTTCCTAAACTGTGGAAATTAGGCGGGCAGAATTTCCTCGTTTCATATTTGTTAAACTGAAAAGCCCTCACTATTAACATAGCTCATTAAGCAGCATCCAGTTTTCAACTAAATCAGATACACAATTTGCTCCATTATTCCATTTTCTTCAATTATTTTCATGCTACTTTTAAGGTAACCACAAATGAGCTCGAATGAGGCAAATGAGCTGAAAACGATACTGGGAACAAACCAAATGATAGATTATGTGATAAGGAACTGTAGTCAGTTGCAGACTTTTACAGCAAAAGCAACGTGATTTTAGTGTAAAACTTTGAAAATGTCTTTTTTTTTTTCGTTCCAAATTCCAATTTAAAAATGTGGATTAAATCACGAGTGGATTTGCAGTGTAAAATGTGACTGAACTATCAGAAGGCTTCAGCGTGATTGAAATTCACCCTTCTTATCGCTCATCTTAATGTGTCTTCAATAATCAATAGAGGGTGTTGCACGGTGAAGGGTGCTCATGTTTTGCCATGTGAATTGACTTGAGCCAAGCCCAATCACTCCATTATCCTTGGTGAAGGTTGCAGGTTATAACCTAAAATGTGATGCAAAAACAGCAGATTGATGATTCGCTGGTGAATGAATGCATTTTAGCCAGGTAACTATTTCCATATTATTTAAAGAATGTGCTCATTTGTAAACCCTCTGAGCAAAGGAAGGAGCAGGGGTAGGAGCATCTCTTGAATATTGAGCGCAGCTTTTTGATTAAATCCCGGCCCAGTTTTTTTATTGCTTCCAGTCATAAAGATGCTCATTCTTTAATGCRCCGAATGCTTGTTTAAAACCTGCTCTTCGTTGTACGCCTTGATCTTTGATGCGGGATTAAAGGCAGGAGGCCTAAACAGTCATCTGAGCTTTGTGATAGGATTACTGATGACAGCAACTTAAGTCTTTGCTCAAAGTCTGAGGAAAGTCGTGTCCGTGTTTCACTTGTTCCAAAAATCAGAACCGCTGGAACTATTTTAGCGCTAAAGCAAAGAACCATCATTAGAGCTGTGATCTCTATCTTACTTATGGTTATATCCATCCATACATCCATTCATCCTGGTTCCTCATTCAAAATTAGCAGAAAACTGAACCGGTTTGGCTTTTGAAGATTTAGCCAGGCAAACCAATAAGTTACAATATTTTTATCTTTTGATTCTGATATGCATTATCACTTGTGTCTAGCAAGCTAAGGTTAAAAAATAACCTAAAAATTTCAAGAAAGTTATTGTAAAATAGTCACAATTTGTTAATAATAGGACAAGATAATGTAACATTTTGTTTGTTCTCTTTAATAGCAGAAATATGTAAAACCTTAAAGGGGCAATATCATGTAAAATCAACTTTTTTGAGTTTTTCATCATGTCATAATGTTATACTCTCATAAAAAACATGCCCAAAGCCTTGCTTTGACTCATTCATGCATGTTTGAGAAATCCTGCAGTGTTTTTAGGCAGCCATGCTGAGGA